TTGAATTTAGAACAACATCCACATGCTGAACCTCAGTGTCGAGGCGATACCCGTGGACGTCCACTTTGTTATCAAGGTTCTGCGGCATAAGGTTCTGACGATCTACAGCGGTGTCTCGAACGATACAAGAAGCGTTGGATGTGGTGGACCCTGAACTGGAAAAGGAGGAGGAACTTCCTCGGAGAACCGGGAAAGGAAATGCGAGGGGTGGACTCTGGAAGAGAGGGTGGCAAAGGCTAGAAAACCTGGGAGTGGTCAGCAGATGGACAACCCGGAAACGCTGTGGCTGCGCAGTATGGTCCTACAGTCTTAGAGATCGAGTAGGAATGGGACGTAAAAGTGGCAGAGGCGCGGGATAGCGCTGTTCAACAACTCCAATCAGCCCAGTGAGCTAAGCCGGCTGCCACTATGGCAGCAACACATCATCGAGAGCCCCCGGTTGAATTCCTTCGGCTTCGACTTCTACTCTGCGAATGGAAACGCGAGATCGAGCTGCCCAGCTTGGTGAAACCTCTGGTGACCCCGCAAGTAGCAGCAACGCTAAACCTCCGAAGCCAAGAACAGCGGAAGCGGTGGAAGATTCGGATGATTTTCTGCCCCTCACACACGGAGGATATGTCCCAGATGCAGTGGTCGCCACGGATCAGCTGCAAGAACAGGAGGAGCCAATCCCGGCACCCGCACATGAAGCGGCGGTGGCGGCACCAGGAGAATCCGCGCAGGCCACCCAACTAGATGGGAACCAGGAGGGCCCAAAGAAGCCAGCTTCCACACAAGCGCGGCAGGAAGGCAGCTCAAATTCACAGAATGTGTGCCACACTACTTGAGCCACATTTACGCAGATCCAGGGAGGAATTGACAATCACGGGGACTGCAGAAGCAGCGGAACCAGCAGGAAGCATTGGATTCCCGTGAGGAGGGCAGTGTGCCACCGCCGGAACCGGTGGAAAGTGAGTCGGCCCGGAAAATCATGTTTATGGCTGGGTTCTCGCTTGTAGTGGAATCCCTCCTTGGCTCGCGGCGGCCCATCCCGAAGTGCCGGTCCCGACATCTTCCATCCCCAAGAGAATCGTGAAGAACCGGAGCGGGATGCGCGGAAAACACCCATGAAGAATCTGCAGAGGAAGGCGGAAACCTCGTGAAACTCATGAACGAACATAGCACCAACGACGACCGCTTACCCTGGAAATTCGATGTACCATGCCAGAGAGCTAAACTGATTAACAGTTGCTTTGAAGCCATGGGAAACAAGCAATGGCCTGAACCACGGTAACGTGGAGCCAGTTTGTACCAATGGCAAGAACCGTTACAACATGGAGCCAATGCGTTCCTGATAACAACCAACCGGTTTAACCCTGGAACCAAAACTTAATGGCCATTGGTCGAGTTCATCCTAGTTAGCGTTTGTTGCTACCTCTTGACGGAATTATCATGGGAACGGGGCTGGTTACGTGTTTCCTACAAAGGGTGGAAGGGAACCTCTTATGACTGCAGTTTGTTTGTGGTACTGCTTATGGTCTTCTACCTTGGCCTTGTTAAGTTTGTTGCCTTACAGGGAACCCGGATGTTGCACGAAGTGACACAGGACAGTGCAAAGCAGCGAGAGAGAGAGAGAGCGAGAGCCAAGAGCTAGCTCTAGCCCACACCAATCGATATCCAAGAGTGGCCTGCATAGGTTGCCGGTAGATTTGCCTAGAAAGCATTCATGCCTGTCATAGAAGTCGCAACGCGAGCGAGCATCGGCTTTGCGAAGCTGCAAGTGAAGTTATCAGCTGAGGCTATATTCATGCGGCGCCCAGTATTTCTTTGCGCGCAAGGCAGGGGCAAGTGATATTACCTGACCCACGGCTCTCCGGTCCCCGGGTTGTTGAAGCGTCGCGAGGAGAAGCATCAGCTGTGCACTAGTGTCAGCCTGTAAGCTCTGCGACAACTGCAGGGTGGTGCCATGCGTGTGTTTCAAACAAATGCTCGTAGCAGTAACAGCACGGTCGACCTGAAAAGGATAAGGCAACCAACGTGGAATCCCACTTTGAAAGGCATTCTGGTGGCCATTGATCAGATCCTGTGGTATGTGGACCTTCTCGGCTGCTTGGGCGGCATGTCGCATGTGCAGGCGTCATTCAGTGGAATCATTGTCGTGCCAAGCTCCAGGCTACCTAGTCCTTGGGAAGCTGCCGCTCAAGGTGGTCGGCTATCTCCTCTGGCCTAGCACGCCGTTGCTCGCCCCATTCAGGACATGTAGCATGTGGACGGCGCGGTGTGATGTTTTGATGTTTTCACAAAGCCAAAGATAGGATATTCCCCAGACTATCATCAGGCTGTCCCGTCGTATTTCTTGCATACACCACCTGCTGTTCGAGCCCTTGGCCCCTTCCTCAGACATGAGTTTGCCGCATTCCGGTGCCCCATACTCTTGTATACCATGTTCAAATGCATCGGCAGCCAGCTCTGAAAGTCTTTGTGTGTTCGCACACGCCCGCGATCTTTTGCAGTTTAGGTGATTCTGCTTGGCTGCCAGTGCTCAAGCAGCTTGGCGGAGTTACGCCTTTCAGCCATGCTTGAGCCTTTGCTCTCAAAAGCTGATGTTCGGGTGCGTCACCTGAAGTTTGGCTCAGTGCCCTTAGTTGCCAAAGTGAGACCAAGAGAAGGGCAGGACACTTGGCATACACAGGTGTTGCATGGAAGGAGAGGAATGCAGAGACGTGACAAGCAGCAGGCACTTTGGCCAAGAGCCTGCAATAGCCATCAGGAATGCGGGAGGAGCCGCCCACGGCATCCCGCGGCTGCTTGTTCGTTATCAACACTATAACACTCGACTTAGATCTCCGGGAGGACGCGCCGAACGTATAAAAGTGCATCGAGTATGGACTGTTGCAGCTTGAGCGCCGAAGTCCAAAAGTAGCAACCTTCCGAGCAGCTGCGCCCTGATAGCGCAAAAGAGCTCTAGGATGCGGCCTTTTCCAGATACTGCACGCTTCATCCTCAAACTTAAGCCCAATCCATGCCCGCGCCTATGTTTGTATCTGTTTCTCATGCATCCTTGGCCCCCCTCTCACTGACCACGCACCTGCCTGGTGCGGGCTCGCATCCAACTTGCGCTGCCAGCGGAACCCGCTGCTCTGTTGGATGAACCCAGTGGTCCGGTCGGCACTAGGGAGGAGCAAGTCAGGTTCCTCACCAGCTTCAACTGTACCACCAAGTTGGGGCTACCTATGTTTGCCCCAAGTCGAAGGCATCCAGTTGCTGACTCCGTGGCCTCCAGACTCTAGTCCCCGGTCAACTCCAACATTCAGGTGCGATTCCTCAAACGCAGCCAGCAAGGTGTGATTCAAAGCCCTGCACAGAGGTCCTGCCTGAAGCGCAGGCAGAACAATGGCGCGAGGCATGCCAGAGTTTAAAGGTCTCGTCATTGTCTGAAAACTCCACCATACTCCACCTGCCAAGCACTCGCATGGAACAAGAGGCTTCCAAGAACGGAACGCTCCTGCCAACTCGAACCACTGCTAGCAAAAACTGTCTATATGCTGTCCAAGAACCTTCCCTGCACAAGAAGACAACTCCAAGCGCTAGGGGATCTCTCCCAAACAAGTGGAAAACTCTCTACACCATCTACACTACCAAAACAAAGCTTCCTATCAAGGCGCGCTGCGAAAACCAGGGTTCCTCAATCAAATAAACTTCTTCAGCAAGTCAGCCAAACTTCCTCACGGGCGAGGCGACACAAGTGCAAAAACAGGCAACCTAAGCATGGCCAGCTGCAGGACATCTAAAAAAACAGGAGCAGATGTGGTTAATTTTCAAGACTGCTGGTCTTTCAGATTAAGGCGCAGGAGTAGAAGACGAGCAGTTGTCTGGAGCGCGCAGCTATTGCTCATTGATGCAAGAAAGCGCGGACTGCTTTCCCATAGGCGATTCTAAGAGAACATCGCAACAAGCCTATTGTCAGATTGTATAGGATAGTGGTGTTCACAAAACGCTCCTTCAAGAGACGAATGACTGGCACAATTTTCTTAAGCAATACCGCTAGGAGCGTACAAACCCAAGGTGCAGTCAAAAGCTGCAGAGCTGATGAAGCGCAGAGAGCGAGCTCAAGTCATTGTTAGTGTGCACGGAACGTGCACGGCGTGAAGGGTTCATTCAGAGGTTCTGAGCACTGTCAGTACTGTTAGGACGTTGATGCAAGCAGGGCTCTGATTTGCATATCTGACATCCCAGTCTCACAAGGCCTTCCGGTCGGTCGGGCTTTCCTCGTCGCCCTGGTGCAGTCAGTTGCTTGCCAGGCTGGTCGTGAGAGACACATGATGCATGTGACGGACAGGATCATACGGGCTCCATGTTTCTTTGAATTGGACAGATGTTTCTCAGCTTGGCAATCTATGCAGAAGCCTCTCGGCAGATCATTTGCCGCTTTACGACTCCCCTGGAGATCCTTGGGCTAAAGGGTGAGATGTGCAGCTGGACTGCAAGCAGGCTCTCGTTCCAATGCAAGTTGAGAACTTCTTCTGCTTTACAGAGCACGGTCTTTCGCATGCTACTTTCCTGTGACTGCCCATATGGTAACTTCAGCGGGCCGCGAGATAAGCAGGTGTACGAAAGTCTGTGTAATGCTAAGGGCGCAGATGTGGCCTCGAGTATCAAATCCAGACTCCGCACGAATCAGGAACTTTTGTTTGGCAAAATGGCCGGAGGAGAATCTTGAGTTGCCGAAAGGCACATTTTTTCATCATGTCACGGCGACAAGTATCATCTTGATGGGGCAGATGGCTTTGGATTTGAAAGCGCGCTGATGAGGGATGTGTGTCAACACCAGGGGCTGCTGGCCCTCATCACGGGTCCCAACCTATGTTCCCAAACAAGGTCTGGTTGGATCAAGAGTCTGGTCTGCCTGTTCCAGACGCGTGTTTGGCAAAGGCTGAGGAAAAACCTCGGTGCAGAGGCGTTGTCCGTTTTCTATGTCTCTACGTAAGTTTGTGTGCCCAGACGAGAAGCGCAGAGACTCGCACTGCAAGGTTATTTGAACATCAATCTCTGCTACGAAGCTTTCCGTGACGTCAAGGTTTCAGGGGGCATACCGTGCCACTGCTGAGCATAGGTGGAGTTGGTACGAGGTTAGTGCAAGGCAACGTGAGGTATTGCCCCTGGAGGTCTCTTGTATCCGCATCTATGACCGCGCGGAGCCTGTCAAATATCTGCCGTGGATGCTGTGGACGCTCATCTGAATTGATTCGGGCATCATGATTGAATGCTTACCGCTCGAATTAGACCTTCAAGTCTGAGCGAGGCAGCATCTTGCAAAGTAGTGACAAGCGAGCTGATCATACCCAGTGGCGGAGAAGAGTGGCAGAGTGGACATCAGAATCATGGAGCTTTGCCTTCTGAAGCAGCACCGCCAGTACCGAGAACTAAGAATTCCAAAGTTCTGATTCCTCAAAAAAATATTTGTAGCCTCGCTTGATTGGCTGGTTCATTGACTGACTGACTGACTGACTTACTGACTGACTGATTGACTGAAACAACCAGCCCTACATCCACTCCAAGCTTGGAAATCTTGGAACAGTCACCCCCGCATTGCTGAAAGCTTGGTGCATTCAGTCCAAGCTTTCAACAGCCTCGCCCTCAAGGATCTGGAATGCCGGCAACTTGCTGCTATTCTTGCTTCTGGTGCCTTGCTCGATGATGATAAGATTGCTCAACAGGCATGTCAATGTGTCTCTATTCCGCCCTTGTACGTAGTTCGAGTAATTTCCTGGGGCCCAGGTCTTGGGCACCCAGCTAAAGTCAAGGAGACCTTGTTATGAGGCAATACTGAGTACTCATTTAATAACCCATGCAGCATCTTTTAACTGCCCGACGGGCTCCGCACTGCCAAGACAAGGAGGCACTCGCGCCTGTGTGTGCAACTTGATTGAGGCATACATCATTGTGGTGCCGCTGCGATGGGTTGGACTTGTTGATACGCATCTTGCGCTCTGATGTAGAGCGGTTCTCCCCTGAGAGCACATGCCCCTTTCCAAGTCAGTACATGCCAAAGTTGCTTGTACTGCACTTATACCTGGTCAGGTCCTTGCACGAGCATTCGGGAAAAAATTATCCAACCAAATTCTTGTGTTGCTGTAGATTAACTTCATTCAGCAGAAAAAACTGCTTTCCTTCACGCTAGCCTGAGAGGCCCGTGGCAGCTATGCGATGGTGGCAGTGAAGCGCCAGCAGCCAGATGCTCAGAGCCTTTGAGGGCTGAGCTCAGCTTCTCAAACAAAGCTCTGAGGCTGAGGCAGCCACCGATCCCAAGGCCAGGGTGCTACACAGACGCCAGCCAGACCTCCTCAGCTCGTCCAGCTAAATCCGTAAAAGCAGCAGACGAGTGCAACGGTTGCCGCACTGGCATGGAGATTTTCCTGTTGTTCGCAGGCCCAGCCGGAGTCATGGCAAGCAGCTGCCGGATCCTTGGGATCGGCGCAGCAACAGCTTCGGTGAGAGAATTCAGCCTGCCAGATACGAGCGCTTGTGAGTTGATGGCTCCCCCATTCTAGAGAATTCTGACAACTGGTCCTCAGGCATCAGGCAGTTTGGTGAAATCTTTTTGCAGGACTTTGGCCGCCTTAGCCACAGAACCGAGGCCGCCGCTGCCGAGTCGAGGCTTGGCCCCTACTTTGGCAGCCCGTAGACTGCAAGCAAAAAAAGTGCCGATCTGAAGGCCACCTGGATGCTTCTAGATGTGTGGCCGACACACTAACCAGGCTCCACCCCGCAAAGCGCGACTGCAAGCGGATCCAGCCAGAGGGAATCGGCCCTTCAGGCAGAAAGCAGAGGGATATCGAGGGTGCACTAGTCCCTTGTCCTGTTGCAGACAAATAGTAGACAGAGTACAGAATTTTGTGCCGTTATTGCCAGGTGCAATGTGTTCATTCAGACTCGCCTGGCGAATGGCACAGCCGAAGGCCCACTCTCTCCGCTAGACCTAGAAAAAATGCAATGTGACTCGTGCAGGCCTTCGAAGCCAGTCCGTGCGCTGCCTGTTAACTCAGAGGACATCACTTCCCTTCCCGCGGCTTTTCGCGGCCAGTTTTGTTAGGGCTGTTCTGAGAGAGTTACCCTGTAGAAGTCTTGATGGTGTAAAGTGAGCTTGCTCTGCTTGACCAGCAGAGATGTGAAAGGCAAAGCAGTGGAAACACTCTATCTGACAGTCACAGCTGGATTTCAAAACAAGAGCTTGCGCCATCTCTCAGTCATTATTCGTCATAGCACTGGAGGACTCGCGACATCTGGTGAGCCAGGGCTCTGCACCTGCGACTATCTCTGCGCCCCCTTCTGCGAAGGTGCTCTATGTTGCAGCAAGTGACAGAGGACGTACAAGTCCATTGTCTTTCAAAGTGCGCAATGACACTCTACCACAGAAAAGCCTGAAGGCAGGTCGCAGATGTATACCCATGAGATATGTTGCATGTTGAGGCTGGCAGAAACCAGCTCAAACGCATCGGGAGGGAGTATGTTGTAAGAGTGAGACATCACTGCCTTGTTCAGAGCACATTCGCCTCAGAATTGATGCAAGCAACAGTGAATAGAGGTCTTGCGCTCCTGGCTAGCCAGGTCAGCAACATGACAGAAGGTCAAAACACTCGTCCTGCAAACCACAAGGTGCTTCGAAGTCGCTCGCGTGAGGAGTTTGCGTCGCCGCTCACAGCCGAGCAGCTGGAACCCACTCCATGATTGCTAGTTGCTAAAGCTCTCAGACCTCACAATAACCAGTGTGGACAGGTTCCAGGTGTATGCAGATGGTGGCTGTGCCTGAACAGGAACACTTGGACCGTGCCCACTGGAGCGAGTGGCAAATGGATTTCAGGACGCCTTGGCCTCAGTCCTCTCACCAGCTGATATGCTGCAAGCTTAGGACACTCGTTTTGCAGACTTCCAGGCTTGCAAGACTTCAGGCAATGGTTCATGGTTTGGCTGCCGCGCTCAAAGGGGAGAAACAAAATAAGTCAAGACACACAAGTCTTTTTTTGCCAGCCATGATGCTATTGACCCAAATGCAGGCATTTTTCAAGTTTTACAGCACATGGTACGAAGTGCTGAGAAATTGTTCACGCGCTGCCACTGCAGTCATGCAGCGATCAAATCCCACAAGTAAGGTCCACGGCCAGCAACGCTGTGAGTCGAGGCTCAAGCAGGCAGAGAAGCGGGAAGAGATGATCGAAAGTCACCTTGCCCAAGCTTGCCTGAACAAGGTTCAGCCACTGATTCATCAATTTGTACGCAAAGTCCGCCTAATTTTGCCAACTGGTCCTGACGCAGAATCCAGGGCTCGCCACTCCTATCATGTGAGTCTCTCCGCAATGCAAACTGACCCTCTGCCTGCCGCGTTCCGCCAGGCCCGCGCTACATCCGGAGGATAGTTTTCGGCGAGTGTCACAGCTTCGCGCCCAGTAGCGTTTGAGCTTCCTTGTTAGAACTCAGCAAGGAGGCATTCAGGGCCAGGGAAACTGGACATTCAGCCTCTGACCTTCTGACCAACAGACGCAAGACCCCTCACTCTTTCAGGATCAGCTGTTCAAGCTCCGCATCATCTCTCTCGCCAGCAAGTGGGGTAGGCTGGAGCTTGACGTTTCTCCTTTGCTTCAATGTCCTCAATGCCCAAAAACTCCAGGAGGTTGAACTGTGTGGGTGCCAATCTCTGTACCAAAGAGCAAGTAACACAAACCATTGTTTCTATGTAGTGGCAGGGGGCAGAGGTGCCCACATCACTTCCTCTGCCAACGAAGCTGAGTAATGTGTGTCAAGGATATAGATCAGGGACGCCTGATCTACGTACCTGCAAAGAAGGCCAGCCCAAA